ATAGGCACCGGCGGGCATGATACCATTTGCCAAAAATGGTGTGACAAGGTGGCCGAACCTCGACTGGATGGAGGCTTTCACGGAGCGGTCCCCGAGGGAGCAGAAGCGATGCGAAATGAGGTATGGGAGGGTTGGAGTGCGCTGGCGAGGAACTGGGCACAAGCCAGGTCCAGATGAGCGGACAATGGAAGGACGCATACTGTATCTCCTGGTGAAGATGGGCGATCGGGGCCATTTTGAGGCAGCCGATGGCTAGTCTCAGTGCAGTGTTTTGTGTGGTTTGAAGGCTAGCTATTGCAGTGCGTGAGGCGACAGGGTACCAGATGGGGGCCATGTAGTTGAAGATTGGGCGCGTGAAAGTTCGGTAGGTGGAAATAATGTCCTCCTTGGAGAAGCCCCAGTTGGTGCCGGCAAGGGCTTTTAAGATGCGAAGATATCCCGCCGCTTTCGTGGCTATATGCTCTACTCGTGCGGGGCTGTGTGGATGATAAACTGATTATTTTTTGTGTAGTGCAGTGGTTCCCAAACTTTTTCAGGCTGGCGCCCCCTTTGTCTCCCTAGTGAATTTCTAGCGCCCCCCCCCCCATAGACACATAAAAATATACGCCTCTCTCTTGAAATTTAGTACGCTGCAATTTAAAAAAAAATGAAGGTTAAACACAATTGTTTATTTCACAAACAGAACCCCATTTAGTGAACCAATATGTTTTTCAGCTGTTTCAACTGTTTCAGCACCAGAAACCTAGGACGTATTGGGCGAATTTATGGCCGGGCTCGTGGCCGGTCTCAGGACCAATCTCCAAATTCAATTATCAAGTAATATCTCCCAAACTAATGAACGCAGATCAATGAATCTTGGAACATATACTCATCAGAACATAGCGGTGATGTGTAGCACGTGAAAAATTTTTTAATTCAACCTTCATTCGTGAGTTATATTGCGCAACAGGCCGACATTCGCAGCTAGTGATCAAATAAATTCTTTCAAACTACTGAACAGATTTGAACGAAATTTTGAATATATATTCCTAACTACTAAACAGTGATTTTTTAGATATAAAACACTTTTTGATTTACCTTCGTTTGCGATTGTTTTTTTTCATTTCACTATCATTTTTGATTTCACATTTCCTTATATTCGGCCCGTATCGCTGGGTAATTTGTCGCTTAATTTCGTGGTGATCAAAAAATTTCTTCACAACCTACCGAACAGATTAAAACGAAACTTTGTATATACAGTAAATACCTAACCTCCCAACGGTGATGTTTAGCTCGTCAAAAATTTTCTATTTTGCTTTCNAGTACTGAGTTATATATATATATATATTTTTTAAAGTCTAGAGGACTCGGTTACTGGTCAAGAAGCTGTCAAGAGAGGGCAATATCATGGCGAATAATATCATCAAGGGACTATTGAAGAAGTTAGTGGATGCCGGCATCACAAAAAATGTAGGTATTTATCATTTTTTGTCGCTGGCGCTCGCTGCCGTGGAATTTATCTGAAGACGCTGTTCAACAAGTGTTAACATCGATTAGTGATTGTATTTAGTTTACGTAGTTTGGAATACTTTCTAGAAACATCGAATTCCTGTTGTTTGGGTGATGTAATTTGCTGCACCTCTGTCGTGCTATAGGAAAACAGTTTTTTTCAGTACACTTGCAAAATATGAAAAACTATTTGTGAAGTGACTACCAATTCATACAGATTTCATTCTGTGATAAATTCTTTTATCGCGGAAAATCCAACGACATTTGATCGAAACTACGACCAAATTTTTGTCACTTCAACTGCTGCTGGCCGAGATAAACATGCAGTTCAATCACCGCCTTTAACGACTCTAAATACGTTAATTTTTAGTCATATATGCATCATTCGCACTCGTATATTCGTGAAGAATATGCCAGATTCTGATGAAAATTCTTGTATATGCATCGTTTAATGGACAGAAGTACAGATCCGTTCTTGTTTGTAAATGAAACTTATTATTGACAACTGTTATTATTGGTTATGAGGAAAGACGTCAATTCTCTTGTACTCTCACAATTTCGAATTAGCACGCCCACTGTTCAGTAGAGCATTGCCTTGTACAATCAGGAAATACAGACACGCAATGATTATTTCTATCTCGTGACATACAACTTGAGGAAGTTAATTATGCACACACCTTAATTACGTATGTACGAGACAAAATACAACACCTACGACATGCAAAGCTCCCGTAGCTGTACGGCACCGCGCATATCGACCGAGAAGCGAATTTTTTATTCGCAACTCCTGCTGGCTTTTCTTGGAAAATCTTGTTCTTCACCATAATTCTCTACTCTGTTTTCAAGATTTAACGATATATTTTTCCTGTTGATAGGAATTATTATTGTATTTATTATTTAAAAGAAAATCGTGTGTATTTTACTATTAGTTTTGACAATTTATCAAGATTCTGTATTATGAACTTCCTGGTTATTTTTTTCATCATTTCGCTCAATCCATTGACGACATGTTTCAAGTCAGTCCAAGAAAGCATTTTTTTTTCTTAACTTGAATGCAGCGAGATCTCGGGCAGGCTTGGCTGATTCCTATGGGGTTCCTTCGAAAAGTGGAGTTAGCGTAACTCCACTTTTAAAAAAGATAATAAGCTGAATCTTTCCATTCTTTTCACACGTGTTATTTGCAATCTAAGTTGCAATATAAATGAGGGCCAGTAAAAAGAGAAGGCCAGCGGACAGCCTTATCCAACTAGCCCGTTCATCAAACTTTGATAGATGCGAGTTTTTAAATCTTTGTTTTTAAATACATAAGCATTTCATGCGAAGGTACCGAGCGTTCGTAGCGCAAAAGGCAGGACACGATATGAGTGGTGGAATATCAGCAGATAAGATACCGACTGATAAGAGTGACTCACTAGAACACTACAACCGGAATTAATATTCTACATTTAATATAAAATACACGAGTCTATTGTTCAAACTGGCCACTACACAGAGTTGCCTGTCGATGACCAATACTGCCTATATGTCGACTGCAATATTGCCCCCCCCCCCATGCACCAGCATGATTCATTTCATCGATAACGTAGCTTTCCTATAATTCCGGTCTACCATGTTAGTCTGCCTTACAAGACAAAAATCACACAATGAAATATTTCAATCATACCCAGCAACGTATGAAATCGTTTTAAATACGTAAGAAAGATTGTGTATGAACGTTCTTGCATTCGGTCTCTGCACCGTCAATCCCCAGCATTCATACTCTACAAATTAGTGAGTCTACATTGAATCATCGGCCAATAGTTGAAAAAGGATGATGAATCTGGGAACCAAGCTTTACGGTCCGAAAGCGGGCCCCAAATGCCCTTTGCTACTAGAAATAACGACGTCACAGTTTTTCAAACCAAAATCTTAAATTAATTTTTTGCAGAATTTCAGGCACGACATGCAGGCAAGCTATTCCGTACAAAATGCTTATTCGATTCGAGGCCAGGTTTTCATGCTAATCATTTGGAGAGATAAGATGGTTTCTCGCAGTATGTTGTACGCATGCTTTCTTTCAAGCGCTAGGAAAATTATAACTATAAAGTGATGCATCGACGTAAAGTTCAGCGGTAGACATCTATTGCGGCCTCAGCCAATGGCGTGGGGCACAAACTGTGGTTGTGGAGTTCAAAATCTATAAAAATGTGGTGGCGTGGGCCGGATGTTGACGGCAGGATTTACGATATAGAAACCTTGACATATTATTTCCCTTCAAACCTGGATGTATTATTTACTTCTGAACCGATATTTGTTCCTAATATTTTGTGCATTGAGCAGACACTTTCTCTGAGTACCCTACAGGGTTGGAAATGTAAGATAATTCTAGTGTTATGCATTACCAGTAAAATGGCAATGTAATGTAATTAAAACTGTTTTAAGATACGCAAATTAAGTTACATTATTTTTCATTTACTTCAATCACTAACAAGTAGCAAATGAATTTCGTTAGGAATTGCTGTGAAGACCCGTGAACAGAATACGCGATGACGTACTACTAAGACCATTTTGGGCAATAGGTATACACGTTAAGTTTTTAAACTCATAGCTCATTGAAAAGGCTAAAGAATTATCAGTACTTCCATCAATAAATGAATTATCATCATGTTATTTAGTGAGTATCGACAGTTACAATGAGTCATGACTGATTTATATACAAATTTTTCCACAGTATGTTTTATTTGAAAAAAAAACTTCTCATTGCATATAAAGCATATAATAAAGCAAAGCATAAACTGCATTTATAGCGCCGGTACAATTTCCTGTTTATAAAAGATGGTATATCTTGAAGATTTAAGTAATAGTAATTTAAGGCGTTCTAATGCGATAGCAAGGAGTGTAAACTTTGGAGTCCGGATCTAAATGCCGACTTTAGTGACAGATAATGTTCATTATCTTATCGCGACGTCAGACACGACTTAAGTCTCGTGAGTTTTTATTGGGCGCAGTTCCCAGAAGTTTTCGTCGTTCGAAACTCTGTAATAAATTGATGATTCATTTGAAACAAGCAGTTAACTTACAAGGTTAATCCATACGTGATGATTATAAGAGTTAGCTCATACTATGCCAAATAAAGTACACATTATTTATAATATATATTTTCTCGAACAGAACTGCTTATTTTATGAGAAATTACCGTCAACTTTGAGTTAAACTCAAAATTTCTAAGACCGTTATACATTTTCATTAGCTCCTTTCCAGTTCGTCTCATGGGTACCTATTTTTTCAAATATTCTTCAGTACACGTTGTTCTCATAAATTTTTGTCTCCATGTTACACACATAGAATCATAAAAGAGAAAATGGCGCGATTGTGTGAAAAGTTCACATTTAAAGCAGGAAGTGTCATATGCGTTGGATTCCTTGTGTAGTTAGGCGCTCGCCCTAAACATCGCACAGAGGTGCGGGGCCGAAGTCAGTTTGCTTTCATATCTTATCAGTCTATCAGTCATATTCAACAGTGGTCTGTAACGGAAAAGCAACCTCGTTAGTGTGTGCGAGTGTCTACAACAGGGAACACGTCCCATTTTTCAGTTTTGAGTAAAAAATTCGGTGTAGGAAAGCTATTTTATATCATCGACTGGATAAATTTTCGTGGGCTACAATAACTGTGAGTACTAGAAACATTAACCATAATGAATGTCGTATCATGGATTTATACAAATTTCCAGGGCTCTATATGAGTGAATGATAAAATTTGTCACCCACAAGCCGTTGTGTCTTCACAAAAGACATACATTTGTGCCACTCCTTCACACGTTCAACATCGTTGTCTGCTACTTGCGATGTTTTTAGGAGCATCGTTGTATGCTGCTGTGATTTTTCTGGTGATTTTTAATGCCGATTCATTTATTTGGACCCATGAACCCTCTTCATAAATTTCTGGATTCAAAAAGTTGTTTAAATTCTAATAATAATTCAATTATATGGCTTTTCCGTCACCCACCTTTCTTACGAGCTTTATGATATCGTAATTAAATGGTCATAATGATGAACGAGTAATATGACCATGGAATAAAAACCTAGCGAGTAATCACCAAAATGAAGTAATTTTGTAGGGAATTGATTTCTAGTTTAAAGCCTAAAATATTCCACTATTTACTCATCGAGTGATGTAAAGCTTTGCTCTAAAGTCTAAACGAACAACATAATGCCGGTAAAACCAGATCGTTCGGTCGTTACTGTGCTTCGTTATTCCATTGTTAAACTTTCTGAATTATAAAGTGCTTAAAAGTTCCATTACGGACAAGCGAAGAATAATGCAATTATTAACATGAGATAAACACATGTTGTCATATTATTGATATTGATTATTATATTATTTCATATATTTTCATAGATATTCATAGATTGATATTATTTCCATCAAAACAAAATGGCAACTAATTGTTCCAACACACTCAACACAACATGATAGGTTTAAATGCTTATGTTTTGATTGCATAAATGAATTTTTTAATTGAGAATAATTTTATATCACATTTGATTTAGCACAATGAGTCAATTCCTGGTGTAGCATCTAAGTTAGTCACTCTTATCAGTCTTTATCTAATCGGCTGATACTCCACTGATGTATCAGGTCGTGTGAGCTGCCAGCGACCACTCGTCTCCCATGCATGTATTATACCAGTGTATTCCATAATTAAAGTATATGATGATTAATTATTACACTTGCGGAAAAAAAGAAAACTGGCCACGGAATATACATACTTGAGTTTTAAGCTCAATTATTCACCGTATAATTAATGCTCTTGTGCCTTGCGGTTCTCGTTGCGGTAAAAACAAGGGCAGTTGGATGATTGAAGAATTATTAAGGCCATTTTAAATTGAAAAGCAGTAATTTTTTCATATTTTATTTCCCATCTTCTGATGGCATATTTGTAGCGGCATTATTGATATTCGGGCAAGATAAACGTAGATCGCTTGAATAAACATGCATATACAATAGGTTAAGGGCATACATGGGAGAATAGGAGAGTTAATTATTTCGCTAATGTGAAAAACTAATTTCAAAATGCCGCGACACCGATAAATGTTTAACTGATTCCACGTATGTAGTTCATTTAAAATCACTAACATGGCAGTGAGTATTAGAAACCAATATTCATGAATTACCATCAATCAGAGTTGCAAATCAATGCATAAATCCCATGTAATGCCTAACTTCCGAAAAATGTTGGGACGGAGATTGATGTACTCGTATATTTTACTATGGCCCGTAACATATACAACAAAAATCGTTGAACTCATTTCACATTCTTCTATCCAACAATGTTTAAATTCACTTGCCATATTTAATATTCGATTTAACAAGTTTTTTCTGCAAGAACAAAATACTAGATCATGTTTCTTATTTACTGTATTAAATAATTTTATTTGTACAATGTGCCCTGATAACAGGACCGCATCCTAACAGAAACATCATGAGGTGGTGGACACTAGCGGCGCTGCTCGTCGTGTGCGTCGCGGCGCAGGGTGAGTCTTATTCTGCGTTGATTTATTTTACCGCATGACTCCTACCGGTTCTGAACGAAACTAATAGAAAAAAGTCATTAAATTACATAATGAAACGTTGCAGCGATGGAGTTTATATAGCTACTATACGTATATAACTATAATTAGCTATTTGATTTCTTAAACTTTCCATTACACAGATACCGCAAACTTCAATCACTACCCGTGCTACGATGTGCCGGTTGAGAATAGGATGCCCAACACCCTCGACAACCTCGTCGCCCTGCTGGAGAAATACGAGCGAACCACTTCTTACACCAACATCGACACTCTGGCCGAGATGATCATCAAAAGGTAAGTCAACAATATTGTGCTGGCCCACTTGGGATTCAGGTCCAAAATTCACAGCAATCGAAAACAGCTAGACAGTTGTGAATTCAATCTAACGTACTTTATTTTTTTTTTGCTCGAATTATTTTTTTATATGGAGAATTTGGGAAAAGTTGTTAAATTTCACAAATGGATCTACATGCATCTTAATAAGTTTGTATAGGTGGACAATTCGTTTGATAGAACGCGGGCAGCTCAGCAGGTTTGAAGACAAGAACAATAATCCACGCAGCGCTATCGACCATGATGGATTTGACTTACCTCCTTACCTCATTGAAGTATACAAGTATACTCACGGTTTATACAAGGTCCCAGAAGGATTACTTGAATTTGAAACAAGAACCAACACCAGGGGCCACGGCTATAAACTAAAAAAAACTGCGTTGTAACACATCCATGAGACAACATTTTTTCTCGCTTCGAGTCACTGACATGTGGAACAGCCTCCCTGATAGCATCGTTGACGCTCCGAGTATGAACGCCTCCAAGAACAGACTAGAAGAGGCTATGCAGGAGCATATGTTCAGTCTTTAAATGCCTAGCAAATTACGGACCAGGCAACAAGTCCAGCAGCTATCTCAATCAATCGTCGGTTATGGAAAGATCGAGTTCCAAAGACTGGATCCCTTGTGAAACAAGTCACGAAACGTACCTACAAGAATCGGCAACAGGCCATGGGCCTATTTCTTCAGTGCCGACACTTCTATTCTATTCTAAAGCTACTTAGATTGCCACCGACATAACGCTCGTCTAAAATTCTCGCTTGTAGACGATCGTACAAAACAGCACGTAGGTAGGACACTTCTCGCTTCTGTTATTTAATGTTTTCGTAATAATATTTAGTGTCTCGTAATATTAGTGATGATCAGTTGAGGAACGATGCATTTAACCCATTTTAGTTATTAATTCAATTTATCACAGATATCGCACGAACGGCATGGTCTACCGACCCAAGTCTGGTATGATCGAGGCCTGGGTGCTTGGGGAGGTGGATAAGGAGACCGAAAAGGAAAAAATTACTGAAAAAATCACTCGGCCTACTGAAGATTTTCCCCCCGGAACTTTTGACGGCAGAGAAGAGGTTTTATCTGTTTTAAAAATTTATTTTCTCCTTATTTTCTAAGAAGCCCATGTGATCGAGTAGAAACGCTGTATAGGAAGTTATAAAACTTTACTCGAAGTGTAGAAATACTGTAGTAGTGTAGTTCAAATGTAAGATCTTTTGTCAGACTTTGTCAACGAATTGAACTGATTTCATAACTGGATTCACCATAAAAAGTGAACGCTAACTATTGAATGTTGTTACAGTGTGGTCTACACATGCTCATGTCGCACAGCACGGACACGTATCCGTTCGACCACGCAGATGACGTTTGGGACGGCACAATAAGCCGCAAAAACCGCGGCGATAAGAGCAGCGGATCTTCTTCTTCCTCATACAACACTAAGACGTGAGCCATAATTTACTTTGTTCTTGAAAATAGATTTGCATAGGGCAAGAAGTTCATTCACAAACATTAATTACAATACAAATCTTAACTATTATATTCCTACAACTTTTTATAGGTATTGAATTTAAAAGCTATGTGCCTGGATTGTGTTCTCTCGCTGATGCCTTGAATTTCATGGCAAATATGATGTAACAAGAATTTTTATTTGCCTTAGATCTCTAAACTAAATTAATTCTCTTCAAACTTGATACTTGTTCCATTTTTAAAATAATTCGTAAAAATTTTAGTTAGTAGTTATCTTGCATATGGCACATTACACAAATCCTTGGTCTGCCTGCGGATATGATACATATAATGTCCAAAATGTAACCAGTGAGTCATCACACATTGTGACAAGAATCGATTCACTTTGTGACAATGATTGTCCCAAGTTGAGACAAGAATCGTCCCATAATGTGAATAGAATCGTCTCGCATTGTGTATGTCACGACAATTTGACTTGAATGAGATTGCTGAAATCGGTGGTGACGAAGTGACAATTGTCGATTGATGTCCATACTCATTATCTCAAACTTGAAAGAGATTATAATCCTTCATTTAGATGAACAAAACATACAAACATGAAACGTTAAATTAACGCTTGATTTCACTGAATCATCCATTAATGCGTTTCATCGTTTATTTGGTTATTCGTCAGGTTGGGAAGAGTTCGAAGAGACGACCCGCCTAAGTGAGTGCATGCGTTGGTTTCTTTGCATTTTCTCTGTGTGCCAACAAAACTATCGGTGCTTTACTTACTCTGCGATCATTCAGTACCAATGACGGCCTAATATATTTAAAAAGTATAACAACAATTTACCTATTCAATCAATTTTTGAACTCTGACATATGCTCGCGCCATACACGCAGCTAGTGAGAAGACATTGGGTTTAAAATCTTATTTTTGCCATATTCCTGATTTTTGATATGAGCCTTATAATCGGGACTCGTGATTTGAACAATAATTTAATAATTTATTGTAGAATGCTAAAAAAACAAGCGAAATATTTAAATTCGATCTTCAATATGACCTCGCATGCTTAGACTATTGTGAGTTGAGTATAATTCTGTTGCAAGATTCAGCACGTTCCTGCACTTTTGCTTCGCGTGCTACACAGTAGCAGCTTCAAGTCTCGGATCAGAGACGCTAACTCCTGCCTAAGAACATGTACACATTTTTCTTATTATTGAACTATTATTATACAGGGTGTCCAAAAAAAACGATACTCAACTTTGAATGGCTGTAACTAAATAAGTAATAGAGTTGAAAATTTTTGGAAGGTCAGGATTTGTTCCCTATGTTTTTTGCATCTCTCCACCAAAAATCAGACAGATCGATGTTGCCATAAGCGTTTGATAGAACTTTCAGTGACATGTGCTAAAATTATGCTTGCGCAAAGTTTTAGTAAGATCATTTTGCATAATCATTACATTGTCTTGACATGTTTTATTTTCGCTGTTTTATTTTTTGTATTTTTGGTGAGACAAAAACATGACAATCTTTGGTGAGAGGCAATCTTTGGTGAGAGGCAATCTTTGGTTTTAAAATTCCCTCTCACCAAAGATTGCCATGATTGTCTCTCACCAAAGATTGCCATGTTTTTGTCTCAACAAAGATTGTCATGATTGTCTCTCACCAAAGATTGTCATGATTTCCTCTCACCAAAGAGTGCCATGATTGTGTCTCACCAAAGATTGCCATGATTGTCTTTCTCCAAAGATTGCCATGATTGTGTCTAACCAAAGATTTTCATGATTGTGTCTCACCAAAGATTGTCATGATTGTCTCTCACCAAAGATTGCCTTGTTTTTGTCACATCAAAGATACAAAAAATGAAACAGCTAAAAGAAAACATGTCTAGACAACGTAATGATTATGCAAAAAGATCTTACTAAAACTTTGCGCAAGCGCGATTTTAGCACATGTCACTGAAAGTTCTATCAAACGCTTCTGGCTACATCGATCTGTCTGATTTTTGGTGGAGAGATGCATAAAAACACAGGAAACAAATCCTGACCTTCTTAATTTTTTAACTCTATTACTTTTTGAGTTACAGCCATTCAAAGTTGAGTATCGTTTTTTTGGGACACCCTGTAGGTTAGAGCACAAGTGCTTGACAATGATTGAATTTTTCCCTTCTCTATGCTTATTTTTTTCTGATTGCAGTAGAATAATAACCGTGATGAAATTAAAAATTTTCCCTTGGCTTAAAAATGCGTAATTGATAATTTTAAGCAAAAGACATAATTTGATTTAGGCAGTCTAAAAGTTTACTTCATGCTTCATCTTCAGCTCTATACCGGGTGTCTAAAAAACGATATTCAACTTTGAATGGCTGTAACTCGAAAAGTAACAGAGGTAAAAAAATTTGAAAGGTCAGGATTTGTTCCCTATGTTTTTTCTCCATCTCTCCACCAAAAATCAGACAGATCGATATTGCCATAAGCGTTTGTTAGAACTTTCAGTGACATGCGCTAAAATCGTGCATGCGCAAAGTTTTAGTAAGATCATTTTGCATATCATTACGTTGTCTTGACATGCTTTCTTTTGGCTGTTTTATTTTTTGTATCTTTGGTGAGACAAAAACATAGCAATCTTTGGTGAGAGGCAATCATGGCAATCTTTGGTGAAAGGCAATCATGACAATCTTTGGTGAGACAAAAACATGGCAATCTTTGGTGAGAGACAATCATGACAATCTTTGTTGTGCTTAGGAACACCCGAGGGCTCGATCAGTTCGAGCCAGCGGTGCACGCCACTGAGTTGGGCGTCATGGAGACACCGTACGGTCCGGTGGCGGCAGGGACTCTCATCGCTGGTGAGCAACCCGACGTCTCGACAGATAAAACATTGTCCCGCTTCTTCTAGTTGTAGTATTAAGCAGGATTACATTAAAATTTGACTCGAAATTTCACGAGACAATTTTGATATTACACTAAAGCATTACTCTAATTCAGGGGAAAAAATATCTAGTTTAGTAAAGTTAAGCCAGCGATGACAAATAAACTACGTGTCATCGCAACGGAAAGAATAAATGAATTTGAGCTCACGTTTGATACATTGTCAGGTCTGGCGACTATTGGGACAAACCCGTCCGCGTCCGTGTCAACGGTTCTGCAATCGGATGCGGAAAACCTGCCCCCAGGGATGGAAAGCAAGAGCATCAAGGGCATTTACGCCTCGACTTTGTCCGGTAATTATGACTCTTATTAGTTTACTTGAAGTCTCGTTAGTGGTTTAGTCATTTTAAATAGGTACTTTGATAATGATGCATTTAAAAAGCTTAATCCGCAATCTCCATAAGGCAGTTGAATCATAACTAATATAGTAGTAAAAAGATTTATAGGTTAGTTAATTGCAGTTGTGTGTCAAATATATCTAAGCCAAATGAAGTTGCAAAGGAGCATTAAAAAAAATATATAAGGTCATGTATTGGTGAGAGTAGCAAGCACAGCATATCTGAAACTCCAATTCTATTTTTCGTTTTAACGTCTATTACGTGATCCAAAACATCCTCTATAGTAGATCGTATTTTGATCACCCCTTACTGCTCACACATATTTATCCCCTACTTACCCGACATTCAATTATTCTGATATTTAATTGCACTATTTTCCAGGTGATCTCGCACAGGTGGCTCTGATGTCGACGAGGTCAGAAACCAATAATGCTGTGTACGTTGGTCCCCCGGGTCGCTACTACACCAGCACCACGTGTTCTAAATTCTACTCCCTAGAAACTAACAAATATTCTCTACTCTCACGCGCCGAACTCTTCGCTGGCATTGATGGTGGGCTCACATAACATGAAAAATAGAAAAATATTAAAACAAAATAACTAATAAAATACTTAATTTTTTTACCATATCTAACAACGATAGAAAATAGGCAACCATTTAAATCATTCATGGAGTTAATACTGGTATTTTTTTAAATGAAATAATAATGTTTGTCTACACATTCTTTACTACTGTTCCGTATACTAGATACAAATAAAAAGCTATCAGTTATTTGGCTGAATTTTTGACTTACGCTCATATTGTTCATAGCGTTGCTGTTCAAGTACGCATACGACAAGAGCAGCTCATCCTTCAGTAACATGAAGCTGTCGCAGTTACTTCGTCTTTACTACAGCGAAAAAGGGCTGCCCAACATGCCTGAATTTAAGGCGTGTAACCGACTTAGTCTTTACTCACTGCTGGACAGGACTGAAATTCAAGACCAGGTGCGTTCTGTTATACAGAATAATAATGCGTTAATTTGAGCATTAAAATAATATTATATTTTTTGTGCTTCCCAAATACTTTGTGACTCATGAATGAATTCAGCATTTCAATGCATGCGGTTATTTTTGTGTCATGACTTTTTAATATTCTCGTAAGTGACGCACAAGTAGCGAATTAAATTGTTCATAAGACATGCAAGCTTGTTATGATAATACATTACAGTTTATGATATAGTTATTAATAACGATTACATATTATTATCAACTCAAAGAAAAAAGCAATTAATCGATTGATGTTTTTTTTCTCTCCACATGCAGGCTCTGAACTTCATGTACGCTTACCAAAGCGTGTTTCCTACCATCAAGGATAAGGTGGAAATGGCCGAGACTTTATCGGAGATTGAAACAGATTTCAAGCAGTTATTGAGTCCTGCTTTCAAGGGAATGGAGGATTTTATAAGTTAGTATTTTGAAGAAAGTGAAGCTTTAGCCGTGATAGCATAGAGAGGGACAATAAATAATAAAGATCATTGTTAGATGATGCTTGGTTAACCTAGCTTCCAAGCACGAGCGGGAAAATTATCAATGTGATTCACAATATTTTCACTGTAGGAGTATTTTGAAAACCCTTCTTTACACAATTTGTAAATAATATTTTAGCTTAGAAACTCGAATTACTTGATTTCGTTGTATTAAATTTTTGTTTCGTAGATTTTTGTATCGTATCATGTTAACAATCTGCTCATTACAATGAGAATTAAATTAAATTTATCTGATAGCAGTTGATATTCATTCATGTAAATAACCGTCAACCGATGAACCAATGGCACGACACATAATTATACCTGTTTGACAAGTTTGCGCTCATTTTAATTTACTACGTTCATCAGAGAGCTACAGATACGACGACGAAGGCTACAACCAATGCTTGTACGGCTCCTCGACCACAAGCGGCGGCTTCGGCAGCTCAGTGCTGAGTAACGACTTGCCAGCCAGCGAGGGAATGGCGGACCTCATCGCCGTCTACTCCGGCCAGGGTGGAAACGATGACGCAAGGAACCAGCGACAAATGATCGCGTAAGGCCATTTAATTTTTTTTCTTAATCCTAGAATGAGTTTCTTTGATAGCACTTAATTTGGTCAATTAAGCTAAATGGATAAAAGAAGCTTACAAAATATTTGAACTTGCATACGCACTCGAACAACACTTAGGTTCTAGCGAATTCAAGGCTTTCGTTGCTCAGTAATGTCCAAGTTCGAGACCGGTATATACATACAACGTCATGAAACGTATATTGCATGAACAGAGAAATGAATGAAGACTCACAATTGCGTGCAGGGACGTGGCGAGACGCTTGGGTGTTAGTTACAGTCGCTCCAGGCTGGGCGTGGTGAGAGGTCAGGACGGTCAGTGGCTCCTCGAACTCACCAACCTTACCAACGTCGGGGACTGGGCATGCAACTTCACCTCCGACAGTGAGTTACTCGATGTTTCGTTAGTTGGGATGAAGCACCGCAAAACTAAAAAATAAATTTGATTCTCCATCTAGTAAAATGTTCCACATAAGGTTCACGTACCACAAGCAGATTTAGGCTTAGCCATAGAATTTTGGGCTGTTTTGATCATCAGTTGAATCCTACTCACCAGAGACGTCATTAGGCCTATTTTATTGCAGCTTCAGCCCCCCAATAAAATATTCTTAAGCCCCCTAAATAGTTTAAATTCTTTGTATAAAAAATATTCGTATTTATTTTCTACAAAAAATGACGACAAATTTATTTTAATGTGGTCTTAATATTTTGTTGATGCCGTTAACATGCAGTATTTTTTTGGGTTTGTTGGTGTACTGCAATGAAGATATTATTGAATATTTGTGAAGTTAAACGTTGGCTTACATTCCTGGGGGCTTGACCGCCATGTTCTTAAAACAGAGTAACGTACCTGCAAGTCGTTATTGTATTAATTTATTCCCCATAATTTTAATTATTACCCCTTTCGTTTGTTATTGTTTATATAAATAAATATTTGTAAAAAATAAATTGCAAATCATCCACATCTTAGTCCATTAAAATAAATTTCGACACCCAAACCCACAAGTTCATTGCTTCAAACATAACCGTTCTAATAATTTCAGCAAACGTTTCTAAATGCTTTTCAAATTTGATCATAAATATTACCATACAAATTGTAAATAAGTTTAAAGAAAAATTATCGACCTTAGGAGGCTGAAAATTATGAATTTTCTCATTTAATTGACGTTGTGAATGCTCAGCAACGCTCTCGGTCGGCGGCACGGACAGCATCAGCAAGGTGTTGTCTTCTCTCACGAAGTTCTACACGCAGCAGTACGACAAAGCCAAATCCGACTTGGAAACTTCGAGTGGCCGAAGTCAGGTGATCTTGTGGCAGGTGTACGGCTCCCAGCCTGGAGACGTCAAGAACGAAACTGTGGAGTTCAGGAAAAAGTTTCCAGGTCAGAACTAGTTTCGATTTTCTAGTAGCATCTGCATTTATTATAAGTAATTCGGAGGTATGTTATTATGAGCGAACGATGCAGTAATAGTGACCACTATATTGCGTAAATGAGTAATTCAGTTGCCACCAGACATGATTCACAATTCGTAATGTGTTTTTATCATTGGATGTAATATGTACTTTTCTCCTAACTTTATTAGTTGGTGTGTTTGAATACTGTGATCATATACATACACCTTCATAATTTGTTTGCATTGAATAGTTGAATATTCATTGAATAGCCTATCATTGAATACATTGAATAACCCATTTTCAAGGACTCGAGTAGGAGTTCGAAATTGTATAGATGCTACCATATATGCATGTTTCGAAACACTACTAGCGCATGTTTCTTTTATCAGCCCCTTCTGGATAAACATGTCGCACGGCGTTACTCGAAAATTGTTTCGATGGAGCATAAGTTGAAACGAAGTAGCTTAAATAGAATTATAACGCGTACCCTCGTACTTGATGGGGATTAGTTTTTCACTTGAAAGCTCTCCTACAAAATACAACGGTATTCATAAATGAACCCTCTAAGGCGGTCTAACTGACTGAGTCTGGAAAATATAAGATAGTCCACTAAGTGGACCCGTCCACACCCTAAAGATGGTGTGGTCCAAGTAGCAGGTCACCTCTGCATCGCTCGGTAACTGTTCAATTATTCTCCTCCCCCCCACGTAAAGAGACATATGCCAATAGTATTTACAGTTACCAAATTTGAAAAGGAAACACCAGTATACGAGCAGATAAGAGAAAGTCAATAATGCCAAACTTACTAGTTCGGTAACCAATTAAATAACACAAACTTAACATTAGGTACTCCGACTTAACATCAAAAACGATTGGGTGAGACTCAGATAAGTATTTGAAGTTGTGTGAGATAGAAAGTTGGATAACTTGATTTGTTGCCCGAGTAGGTTCACTCATTTGTTACCAATCACTGACGCATCTTGTGTGATAATTTACAGGCTGTTCGGCTAGTTAACACAGCAGATTAACTCTGTGTTTCTTATGAGGTTGCGTATGAAAAGTTGTACAATGTACATTAATGCAGCATATTAAATCGACATATCTGGGTAACCTTGTGTCGCAGAGTAACTAGTTGGCTGCAGGTTAGCCCTATGTTTATTGAATTAGATATTCTTTAGAGATTAAAGCAAATGATGCGAGAAAGCATAAACTCGATTTTCAATGGCAAGCATCGGATGAATAGCAAAACCATATACTTCTCAGAGACGAAACCATATAGTCGTGATCCGCATACGGAAACATTACCAAATATATAGATAATAGATATTCAAATATAGAAGTTGGAGTTTCTGATAATAACTCGTGTCTGATGCTCAGATGTGAGGATCATCTTTGTGGGTCGTAACCAAGCCCCTTACCAGGACCTCCTTCGTTTCGAAGACGACTTCATTTTAGACAACGGCAAGTCTGTGCCCGATTTGGTAAACCTGGGATTGAACGCCGTAGTGACTAGTAAGTTACTTTCAAAGGAGTTTGGTTGCAGTCGTGCAGACGTAACTGTCGTTCATTTCTTCATAAATCCCGCCTATAATCCTTACAGATTTTTAATTACATTGTTAAATTTTGGTTTTGTTCCATATCTCTTGTTGTAAAGTTCTTCAAAACTATAATATTTATGAATGAGGAATTTGACGTATTAATACACAACTGGTTTCAAGGTCCAAGATTCTTCATCTATCCTGCCTGCGACCCCAACAACAGCAGCAACACCTACAATTACCAGGAGTCGAATCATAACTACAAGGGGGCAGTCACGCCTAACTTCACAACCTACATCATCATCCCGGCGCAGAACTTTCACTACTCCGAAGAATTCGAATTGAAGGTAATCTTTCGTTGATATACCGCCTGAAGGAAACTTTTTGTATTGTAGAGTTTTTTTCACTCCACTTGCTTGCATGAAGAGCTTTAGTTTTTTATTTCTTTTTAAAATATTTTTCTTCTCTTTCCCAGGTGACTGGCGGCGTTCGTACTTGCTTTAGCCGTACTAATCATTACGCTCTTGAGAACAAGAAAGCTGACACCGTTGAGCCATACCTCAAAATTAAGCCAAATGACGATACTTTGATTTGTGTTGGAGGCCCCAATGACGAAGAAGAAGATACTGCTACCTTCAAGTGGCCTTGTGACCGCAACGTGACCGAGTGCAACCCTGTCTTCATGTCCATCACCGGCCTCAGCACCAGCTCCTCCACGGGCAGCTGCGTGTCCACAGGTAGGTACCCTTATTATTGATGCCTCCTCATATACCAAGAGTGGGACGTACCTTGTAAATGCCTGAAGCTTGTATCAGTCCCTTATAGGTAACGAGCGGTAGATTTAAAGAGATGTATTTTACGGGGTGAAATTTCTTTTAGACGACATTTCAGTTTTTATATAAAAATCATCCCAACTTGAGACTCAGAAATTTCATTTGAAATCGAGTTTTTGCTCTGTTTTTTTTTTTTTCATTTTTTATTCAGTTTTTTTTTGTGGATAAAGTTTTCACTTGTTGAGGGAACTCCGCCTGCATTTTTACGTAATTCCTCGGCTTTAGATGTATAATAATTGCAATGGTGTCCCCCAGGGAGCGACAGCACTCTGTGCGAGTACCCCCACCAGATCAAGTACGAGCTGACCCACAAGGGCATGATTTGCGGTGCGTCATCCGCGGCTCCAGCTCTTCTGCTGCTCGTGCTCGCCATTGTACAGCACTACTTCCGCTAAAACTTCAGTAAATTACGAAACACTCGCACAAATTTATTACAAATTCCATTCCTACCTGTACCATGATACCAAAAAATTATGCCCAGAGCAGCTTTCATTAATTTCTTTCTATTTCTTGTACTAACTGACTGAAGAAGTTTATGTTTACAAATTCAATTGATAAACATTTCTTGCTAAGTCTAATTTGACAACACTTATGCTCATATTTAAAGCTTCATTACTGCACCAAACTTCATGTTTTTGTTGCAAAGTTTTTTCTGTTTATTTACTCATCTTTCGTGAGTTACACCCTCACTTTATCTGCTTTCCAAAGCCAAGAGGAAGTTTGCGCTCTCTATTCTTAACAAACGTTGTTGCTCAATAGTTTTTCGTGATTTTCATTTACGATGAAATGTGATCCAGGGCTAATTATAACTACAACTGTTGGACATAGACAGCGGCGGCGAAAAATTCGAAAAAATGGATATTGATTGTTGAATAATTAATGTGTGGGGAACTTCTACAATTAAATTTTATGATTTACTGACAGGTAGAAATAACTGCGACGTTTAGTGCATGGTACTATTTCTTATTGCGCTTATTTCATTGAAATATTTTCTAACCCGCTTGTGGTTCAAAACAAAATAGATTAACTAGTAAAAGTAGATTTTATATAACTTAAGTTAAGAACATTAAGTAAAATCATATGGATTGCATTATTTAGAGCAAATGAAATTTGACTATTGTAAGAGAATTGTATGGATATACAATTAATTTAATTGGTGTTGTTTCGATTATTTTTTATACTGATTATCAATGAGAGACATTCAGAGTTAAAGTTGCATATAACATATTTGAACTGATTATTGAACAGGAGTGAAGTAGGAAACTAAAACAAATGTTCAACTTGATTTTATAGAATAAATGATAGAGATTTGCGAATCTTAGTTTGCTTTTTCCAAGGCCTCAATCTTCATATGTGGACTTATTTTTATATGTGATGGCGAACTGCAGCCTAGTCAATCATTTCCTTGTGTATATGAATCCAAGCGAACATTTAGTTATTCAGTACGCAAAACATGATCACACCTAACAATGTGATGCAGGCTACATGAACAAATTATAGATGCGGTGCATACCTATACGTTTCAATTCATGAAGCCGAGGAATATGAAAAAAATTGCAATTCTGATTAAGTTTTCACGCGAGCAATTTATTGGTGTACGGAAATGATCTGTGCTTTTTTTAATACGCATTCAATTTCCCTTGCTCTCATACACCTTAACTCAATCAACTTGAAAAACTTGACAATGTATAAAAAAATTAGCAATTGATTTATTGTTATCTGAGCAAGATTTCCTCATTATGAAAAGTTAAAAAATATGTTCGTGTTTGCAAATATAATTTATACTTAACTCCTACAGAATAAACATTTTGTGCGCGCAACCGAGTGCAGCAATAATTTTCATACAAACCTGGCTAGTGTGTGACCTGAATCTTTTAAATTCAAGGTTTTTAAAGCTGCAGTGTCATGGCGGCAGGGCAGCTAGTGCTGCGGCAGGATTTGTCGGGTGAATACATGTGATTTCTTCGACTCCGCGGAGCTTTTTAAAACATTGTTAAATGTAAAATGAGTTGCCAGACCCATAAGAAATAAATGACCTGAGATACCCAGTAGTTTATAGCTATATCTTCGTATGTGGTTTTAATAATAACATTTAGAATGTTGGTTTGTTTTGAATCGAATCTAAACGTGCGGAAATCATTCACCTTCATCATTGCATATAGGTAGGAGTTTATTGGAAAATATGCTGATTCTATTAGCACCACAGAGTCTAGAATTAGAGAAATCTTTACAGGCGTGGAAGTGAAAATTACATTATTTCGTAGCTCCATCGTCTCACCTGTAAATGTAAACGAAATTTTTAAAAAACAATTTCACTGTAAAAGTTTTCCTAGCGTCTTCATTCAAACTATTGTAAGATATATTTTTTGCACTTTGATTATTTTTTCGAAGAATGAATTACTTATGACTATTTGGATTTGTGATTAGTTCGCGTGCAGGAATAAAATTTATTGCATTCTCTCTAAGAAAAATATCTCCATAGGCCTAGCGAGTTTATGACAGGAACAGTTCTACGCCTACGAGTTCCAAATAACGTGTACTCTTAGAAACATTATAAAATGAACATCCGAGATGAAAGTCTGAGAACATATTTTTTGATTATTAGTGATTTTATCGCCATTACGGAATATTAATGATAAATGTACCTTCATGGCCTCAAATGAATATGTTACGGCCGTTGTAGGCAAATCAATCTTCAGGCAAGGTTCCTGCCAAGGATGAGTACCTCCATTTTCCATCAGATAGCTATTCAATGATGCTATAAACGTTAATAAATAGTACAAGTCCACGGTCTCAAACTCTACGAGTAAATAAAGTGGGTTCATTCTTCCTCTTTTATATTCATGATGAACTTGAGTTCACAGAGCTCAAAGCCCAGTAAATGACTTCGCATTAATTGTAATTACTTCCAGGGAATCAATTTATTGCTTTTCTTAGTGGCCATTTAATTCTATGAATTTATTATTCAGAGACAATCGCGAACCTTGAGAAAGCAATTAAAATAGAGTGAATAACCATTTGGGCCGGAAGCCTGTATTTATCACTGCATTAACTTAAGAGATCCTTAACTTAATCATTATTCTGCGAGATTAAATTTCATGAATTTCAAAAAGAAAATTTAACAAATAAAATATATGAATGATCATGTTAACAAAATTTGCGATCATACAATGATGATGAAAATGATAATGACACGGATTAGCGATGTGAGAATTTTCCTTCCATTCTAGACCTAGTTTGCAGACCAATATTTCAAGATGAACCTATAAACAATTTTGTTCCGCTTTAACTCAAGGGAGACCAAAAAGATTAAGTTCATATTTATAGTTGATTTCAAGGAGAGCGGTGAAGCATTAAAAGATTCTACTCGCATATTGAAGGTTTGGTTGACGTAGACGAGACACTAATTATGTTTTTAGCTGTGGTTTTATACACTACAACTCGAGAGTAATTTCACTTCCTATTAATTTTTAGAATTTAATGCATGCTCCCTTTGCTATTGTAGTGCATTCGTAGTCACTTCTTTGGTCTGGCCCAACATTGAAGACACCTCTGACGCATTCTAACTTTTTTGTTATAATGCGTTAACAATTGTCGGCCCTATATTTCCGGCCTAATATTTTTTCAGAAACATTCATATATCTGATAGAAACCTTGCGATTATTCAACTAGTCGTTGTCACGAAAGAAACTCCAAACGACACAGCTCACGCGGGAGAATTTATTTAGATGTTAAATAAATATAATGTGACTGAGATCCATATCTCTGTCGAACATATTTTCAGTGAATTAATCAAAGATTATGCTGCAACCAGGTGACAAATACAAAGTCAATTGTATTTTTCAATACATGAATATTACAATTCTAGTCATCTCTCATTAAATAGTAAACTTTTGGGTGGGGTGGCCACGACGTTCACTATATAAGGAGGTGCACTAGAAGACCATGCTTCACTCCAACAATGTCGTCACCAGCAGAACAACCTTTCACTCTAAGCGCTCTTAAGACAGGCTCGGCCAGTACTGCAGAAGCTACAGAGAAGCTAAGAAAGGTAAAAGAATCGCTTAACTTATGAATGAAATCATGCATATACACATTACTCTCAGTGATTTAAACTGTGCGAAAATAATACATTGTTCAAGCTCATTTCTGCTTCATCCAAACAAACGAGATGCTTTCATTTTAAATTTGTCAGATGATTGATTTCGAAATTTTCGTGTTGTATAATATTTACGTGTATCATATATTTATTTCCGCCAAAATATCTGTACTCAATGCTTGCTATGACTTGAAAATCAATGTTGTTACATTCGAAACGTCGTTAATAAATTAAAATTACTTCATTAAACTGCATTTTGATCAACCAAGGTCATCTGGAGAATATTGTTCGATCCTGAAAATTTAAATCAATGAAATTGTAACATGTCTCTTTAAACAAAGAGTCTTTACATGTTTTATATGTCTTTACATGTCATGCTACATTTCTTTAAAAAAACATTGTTACATGTTTTTTTAACAATCAATTGTAACATGTCTCTTTTAATATTTCTATCTCATTTTTTCCCTTTCACTTTGCATACGATCTATTAATAGAGAGTTAAATCTATTGCTTGAATTAATTAGATTATATTATATGCAATCTATTATACGAACTATTCTGTTCTATTCTTCTATACGAAAGGCTGTCGTTGCTGAATTCTGTACGAATATTTTTCCTCGGCAATATGCTGCGGCGGTGTCAATGTCGTGCGCGGTTGTGGATGAATCTCCATAGTTTTATAGTTCTCTTTTTTGGCCGAAGATCCATAAGTAGCGATTACATTAACACATATATCAACCTATAGCAACGGTAGTTCTCAACAAATATTAAAACTAGTAGAAAGTTCCACCGGTGGCGCTTTTTTCATCAAAATTATCTGTGCTTTCAAATGTCAGTAAGCTGTACCAGTTTCGAAAGTAATATCGATGTCGGTTGTTGCCCTGCATACAGTTCAGTGACATTGTCGGTTTGGTCAAAGTCAGAGTTTCAGATTTTAATTTCGACCAATAATGTAAATCGATGACGTGTTTAAATGGATAGATATGGTGGTTTCTTTTCAAATAGAATAAAGCGTTATGATAACTTTGTAGCTACGAAACTGTTAAATTTGTCATAAATTCTAATTTGTCGAAACCCACACGAATTCGTTTATGAGAGGAACGGAGAAACGAAACTTTGAAAGGCAGAAATAAGCACCTCTGCCTGCCTAAAAGCCACATAACTGAAACGAGGAAAAATCTCAAAATTAGTCCTACAGTACAGGAATTGGAAAATTCTGAATTAGTCTAATCGATGGGGAAAATGCTTATCTGCTACTATCACGTTACTTCCGTGCACGACAGGAAGTTGTCGTTTGAAGCCTTTAAGAGGTTGTCTACCCAAAAATTTCCTTGTCCTCTTATGTTTGTTGTGAGCAGCTGCGCTAATCAGTAGGCTAACTATTAATTATTAAACAATTCGCAAGCAGTTCACTGATTTAATGAAGTTATCTTTTCATCTTCACTGGACTCTATCAAGTCCTTCTTTCCAGGGCTAACGCACTTTAGATTCAACTGGTATACGCCCATTTCGAAGACTGGGGTAACCTATTCTCGTGTTTGCGTTTTGTGTAACGCGCACCCATATTTGCTCGAAATTTGAAAGGATTATAACATCGTGCAAATCCATGCGGTTTTAACCTTGAATTTTGTTGACTGAGAACAATATCGTTAACCATTTTTATACACGTGAGATGAATCTCTATCTCGCAGTTTGACATAACAACATTGAATGAGGTGTTCAGATAAGTTATTCTTGTTTTTCTAGATATTTTTCTAGTTATAGGCGATTCAAAGGAATTTTATATATCCACGACGAAAGAAAGAATACTTTACTACTAAAGCCAGGTCACCTTAATAAATAGCTCATACAGACACGTTGGTCAGTGAAATTCACTAACAAAGGCAAAAACAGCCTGCCAAGTAAGAATATAATGCTAGTTTTGTCTTGCAACTTATCTGCAATAAGTTAAGTTCGAATAAAAACGTAGGTACAGATTCGTCCAACCCGAACTCGACAAGCAAATTGAATGGTAAATTGGAACTTTGCTTGCGGTTGCAGAAATGCACCGCTTCAGCGTCTGTTAACTGACACAAAGGTCACTGAACTGAAATTAATGTCGTTAGTGGATAAAAAGCTTAATGTAGAAAATTTAACGCCTATTAACCTCAGAAGTATCTTCTTATTGCGTATATTGAGTCTCAGCTTGCCATTACATTTATAGAAGCTACTTTTGGGCACTCGTGCCTGTTCGAGGCCTTTAGAAGCCGCTTATCAAGCGTAATAAATTTGTTGTGCGTAAGATGCTCTTGCGTTGAAGCGTCGTTTGTATGGAAGTAACGGTTTTTGATAGAGATGCATGAACTATGAGGAAGATCTAAGACCAAATAAAACAAAACTCCACCCTCGTGAAGCGCGGTTCTGACTGCTTGGTTTTGGGGGCGTGGATCTTCAGCGATAGACGCCAGCGTGCATACCAATCCACGTTAGCCAGGCGATTCAAATTCTGCAGACTTTTGCAGTGACCCTGTCCTGTATTTGTAGGTTCGTATTTGTATGCATGGTTCCAACTGACCGCCAATAAATTCTAATTTTTTATACATAAGTGGTGAAGTACCATAAATCTCTTTAGCAACCAGGAGCATCAGGCATAAATTTTAAAATATTTGAAGGTTGCACCAACTGCAGCCGGGCGTATAATTTCCTTATGCGTCTTTTTCTTTAACGATATTTTCGCTGGATATTTCCAATTCAGGAACGGATTTATTATTTTTTTGTGTTTTCCATGATTTGAGCTGGTTACAAGGTTTAACGCGACATATTCAGGTAACCTAATATAAAAATTATTTCTAATAGACCTATTTCCACTTCACCCATAATAATAAAAATCAAAACATTTACGTTATATTGATGGCAGTCGCTGCTAAACCACCGGTCGAGCCTGGACGTGTTGTCGGGATGGCTGTGGCAAGAGTCGCGCGTGCTCATCTTCTACACTGGAGGCACCATCGGCATGACCATGAACGCCCGTGGCAGTGAGTTAAATTAAGTTTACAATCAAGTTTTCAATCGAAGCTATACTTATCCACATTATTTTACACGAACCTTAAGCGATAATACAAAATTCCCTGGATGTGATCATAAATTATTATTCAAGAATATAATTTCATCGGTGTGCCTTTACAGTGATCGTCGTTTTCGTTATACTATAAATTAGTACACCGACCTTAACAATTAATGCGACGTATTCGCAGTAGATTTGCTTCTCGCGTTAGTTTATTATGAGCTGTCTGTCATCTGACTGCGACTAAGAGAAATAAAATACATGTTATGAATAGAAAAACTGGATAAATTCTTTCCTTTAATATTTTGAATCTTTGCATGTAGAAATTATTAACATTCCCTAGTCGAAATCATAAGCGTTTTGACTAGCATGCAACAATATGAACAGAATCTTGAACAATCCAATGCTAATTAATTATACATTGAATTGAACTTTTCTCCAAACGTAAATTGATAATATAACTATAAACAGAGCTGGTTCCTACTCCTGGGGAGCTGGAGTCCCGCCTGAGGAAGTATCCTCACATGCACGATGAAGAGTACGCCAACGACCGCTTCAGTATGCTGCAGAGCCCGCCCCTCGTGCTGCCGTAAGACTGCTAATAGCGAATATCGGATAGTTTTCTTATAAAATGAAGAGGAGTTCTCTCGCGATCTAATAATAATAATAATAATAATAATGCCAATTTAATTAGCATGGAAAGTCAGAGCACGTGTAATCGACTGGAAGAACCTCGACAGACTCAAGCTTCCACTCATAACTTATAGTAACTAGAACTAAATAAATGAAAGATAATAAATGCACTAATACATTAGCCCATTGCTTACTCCATCCAAGAATTTTACTGATTTAGTTTCCCATTAGTAATTAATTTCATGTTTATCGGATTAGGTGCAATCAAATGCTAACTTCAACACGCGAGATGAAGGGAATCAAAATCATCTCATAAATGGGATGGAATGAGTTTTTCCATTCGATTATTAAATGAAGTTTACATTAATTAGTGCAAGAAATAACAATCCTGCAATATTCGCTATTATTGGTGCTCATCGTCCCGCAGAGATTGTCGGGAGAAGCGTCGCGTCGTTTACTGGGTGCACGAATATTCCCCGCTCCTGGACTCGTCCAACATGACCATGGACGACTGGATCAGAATTGCCCAGGATATCAGGGTGATGTCGAAAAATGCAGCATTGAGAGTATTTTAGTCTATGCCTTCTTTTACATTAATCAAGTTGCACGTATTAAATACTTGATATAATACCTATCTTGATTGAATTAAATAATTATTTATTCATTTGTAAAAATGTCTTTGTTAGTTGTTTTTTATTTAAATATTTAGCTAATCCTCCTACAAAATGTTTACGAATGTCCTTGAAAAAGAAAGATACTTGCGTCTCTGAGAGAGTACATTTGTTGGCAGAATATTTTTATGTATGTGTATGATGTACAGATAACTTATGAAGATTTCGACGGCTTCGTGGTCTTGCACGGCACAGACACGCTGTCGTACACTGCAGCTGCTCTGTCCTTCATGCTGGAAAATCTGGGCAAGCCCGTCGTCATCACAGGGTCCCAGGTCAATGTTCTACAATTTTTTGCGTTATTAGCGTGATTTAAATTGTCAATTTTTTCTATTTATTTCCCGTGTGCTAGGCTCTCGGATAAGGGAATATGTAAGAATCTCAATACAACTCTAAATCCTTGAAAATTAAATCGCTAACCATTGACCAATTACCTTTGGTACATTTTATTTAACTACGATTCCGGAGTAGGCGTACAAATCAAGAATGCTTTGGCTTTAGGATTCATAGCAATTATTGAATTATCATAATTTTTCGTGTTCAATAGTTAGTATCATATGACAACAGATTCCCCTGTTCGAGACGAGGAGTGATGGCAGGGACAACTTCATCGGCTCCGTGATCATGGCAGGATGCTATAACATCCCAGAAGTGACTGTGTTCTTCAACAACAAACTCTACCGTGGTAACCGTACCACCAAAGTTTCTTCTGGTCGCCTCAGTGCTTTTGATTCGCCAAATTTCCCAGCTCTTGCTACTGCTGGCATTTCAATCAATGGTAACGACCCTCCTTTTAAAACCTAATCTTCCTTTGCAAGGAGAGTCGGTTTCCTTAAACCTAATAAAACCTAGACTTCCTTTTTCTGATTTATATCACTTTTTCACATACTTCTTGGTGTTGCGCAATTACATTTCTATTTACTCAATTGAATATATTATGAAACGGAATCAGAAATATTTGTGTTTGAATAAATATTCGAATTCAAGTACACGAGACACAACCATAAAGAAATTCAGAGTATAAATATAACAATATCTTGAATTGTACACAGTAAATAATTTTCTGTGAACCTGTACGTTATTCGTAATTTTTTGTCGCTCCTGGTTATTTAATACCGATTGAAACCTATGTTGCACTAAAATTTCCTCCCTGTTCACCGACAGTGGAATACCGAAACATTTTCCGACCAACCACTCTCTCAAAATTCTCCGTATTTTCACAACTCGACCCAAACGTTGGTCTTTTGAGAATTTTTCCTTCGATATCGACGGAGAGCGTCCGGGCTTTCCTGAGCCCCGTCAAGGGGGCTGTCCTACAAACCTACGGAGCTGGCAACATCCCCAGCAACAGGACGGACATCCTAGAGGTGCTACAAGCTGCAGCGGCCAGAGATGTTCTTATTATCAACATCACGCAGTGCATGCATGGAGGCGTCGAGCCCATCTACGAGACCGGCGAGGTGGGTCGAGTGCTTTATTATTTTAACAATTGTATTTTACCTTTCAGTTCGTTGTGTACATTGATGTATACAAATTGTTTTGAAAATTGATCTAATGCTTCACTTTCAAATCTTTGAAAACTAGAATTTGCTGAAATAAATTAAATTCATTAAGTTAATTATTAGGCATAGACATAATTGAAAGGCGGTTATGTAATGGAATTTATGTTCAAGGAAAATTAGAACAGGATAAGATTAGAACATTCGAGGTGAGGCTACACTGGTTTAACAGAACTTGAGGAAAACGACTGCCATGACTGGAAATTTTTTATAAGCCTTTTTCTTGATCTCGTGTACAAAAAGTTAAACTTTTTAATAAGCATCCGTGCCCTCTAAGACATAATTCTATGTTCTTATTATCAACATCACGCAGTGCATGCATGGCGGCGTCGAGCCCATCTACGAGACCGGCGAGGTGGGTCGAGTGCTTTATTATTTTAACGATTGTATTTTGTCTTACAGTTCGTTGTGTATATTAATGTATACAAATTGTTTTAAAAATTGATCTAATGCTTCACTTTTATTTCTTTGAAAACTAGAATTTGCTGAAATAAATTAAGTTCATTAAGTTAATTATTAGGCATAGACATGATTGAAACGCGGTCATATAATGGAATTTATGTTCAAGGAAACTTAGAATAGGATAAGATTAGAACATTTGAGGTGAGGCAATACTGGTTTAACAGAACTTGTGGAAAACGACTGCCATAACTAAAAAAATTATGTACGCCTTTTTCTTGAACTCGTCTATGAAAAGTTAAACTTTTTAATAAGCATCCGTGCCCTCTAAGACATAATTCTACTACTAATACACCAAATATTGTGTTTGCTTAATGGCTTTAAAATTTACTGGGAAAAAATATTCAATAAAAATTCAGTATATTAAAAAACAAATTTGCATAACCACAGATTTGAACTGATAACGATGATGTTATGAGTCAAAATTCAACTGGACATGCTATGTATCTTTCTCTATTTAATTCTGAGTTATTATTTTATTTCGGCACTCGAGTTTAATTTCTTAATTGCTAATAAATAACATGGTTGGTGTTGCAGGCGCTGGAGGGCGCTGGAGTGCTCATGGGACTGGACATGACTCCTGAAGCAGCCCTCGCCAAACTCAGCTATGTGCTTGCCAAGGACGTCGACTTTGCGACGAAGAAAAAGGTGATTCACAGTTAATGAAGTTTCTTGGGCAAATAATGTAGCCGAGCAGCATCCTTTTCTCATAGGGACGTTTGTATGCTTGTAGGATTCAAACAAGCAATTGTTTGAAACATCATGGTTCCAGTTACTGAAGGAAAATTCGAAACTGAATTTTATATTTATGAGATGTGATTCATTGTTGGAAATAACATATTTATCGAGGTACAATTGTTAGTTCTGTTTATAAAATATTTCAGTGTGCCTGATTTCCGAGTGTTCGTATACAACTGCTCGAAGTAATGAACTGTCGTACCGTCATATTTACAGTTATTCAAATTTGCATAAAAAACTCGTTATATTTAGGTGGAACGAATTAGATGAGCTTTTTTAAAGTAAGCAATAATGTATTTTCAGATGATGCAGAGTAACTTGAGAGGAGAAATGACGATTGTTACCACATCTGACGGCGCTGCCAACGAGGACGACACATCGGTGGACGACATCATCGCCCACATCGCCCAGGCCCTCGAGCTGGCGTCCCTAGAGGACCAGCGGCACCTTCAGGAGCTGCTCGTCCCGACGCTCTTCATGAACGCCGTCGTCAACGCCGACCTCCAGAGGATGGACCGCCTGCGTGAACACGTCTGTGGTGGCCAAGCGAAAAATATAAATAAACAGAATTTTTTAAACCATTTAAACCAGGCGTAATTATGTATGTACTGTGGTCTTCAGTACTGGATTACTTGCAACAGTCTATTTTTTAATTTTTTTTTTCGATTTTCTTTACGGCGTTTTTAGATATGATTTGTTCCATTGAACTCGTATTTAGTAACACCTAATTTTAAAAGAATGTTTATTTGAACAATTTTGCATATCTTCTTAATCGTTAAAATACTACAGACATATCAGTTATTGGGAATTAATAAATCTTCGCCTACGAATATTCTTAACACTCTACACGTGGCAGCTGGAGGACGTTAACCAGCGCGACGCGATGGGCACGACGTTCCTGCACGTGGCAGCGTGCGAGGGCGCCCTCGAGGTCGTGGAGTGGCTGCTGCTGAACGGCGCCGTGGTGCACGTCAGAGACGCCAAGGGTTTCACGCCTCTCTGGGCGGCCGTCTCATGCGACCAGACCAAGGTGTGGTAACGGCTTTGCTTCAGATAATATGTAATCATTGATGACATTCTTTAGTTAGTTTAATTTATAATTGAGACTCTTGGTTTAATTTATAAGAGGGGCTCATGGAGTCATTGTTATTTGTAGCCGCAGCTTATATGCATCTTGTGTAGCATTTGTTTATTATGAGTAGTTTTCAGCATCACTCCGTCTCCGCGTGTTACTTTTGATCTCGACGCAGACGAGTACGGTATTGTGCGGAGATGCTGAGCATTTGCTATGTTATTTGTCTGATTTGAATTGTAGTAGGATTTATTACTATACATTGTGGCATTTTAATATTTTGCAGACCTAGATACTAAATAATTTCAACCTGTGGCTTTGGCTTGAAGCCTGTTTTGGCGAACATTTGCTAAATTTTGTTAGTAATAAAATTTTCTGTGTTCAATAATCAAAGTTTCGTTAGTTATGCCCTTGTTTGAATTACAAAGTCAGGAAACGTGAAGGCCATTGCTAGACTGGTACGTAGCCACTCTATTGTAAATCAGCAGTTACAATCTATCTAGGCAATAGTGTTTGACGTTGAAGGGACGGTAATTTAGTCATATTGTGTGATGATGTCTACACCAAAACTAATTTCTCGGATATTTTTAACTAATACGTGAAGTCACAACGCTTCGCAAAAAAATCAAAAGTTCTTCAGGGACTGTTTTCGAATAGTTCCAAACGAAAAAACTGAAATTAGTTAACAACTCGCATATAAATTATCTTGATGTATCTCCGAGATACTTGCGGACTTTTGTACACATCATTGCCGTAAGTAACGCGCTAATCGGTGATTGACTCACTTCACACCACACAAATATCTCTGTGCTATACCAGTATTTTCGTTTTCACAAAATTATACTCAGTGACAGTTAAGTAATTAATTTACATTTTTTTAGCTCATTCCCTTTCGATCGTCGTCAGGTGATCGATTTATTAGTCCAAACGGGCGCGCATCTGATGGAGCTGCCGACAAAGGTAGGCGAGGAGCTGGTCTCTGCAGCGGCCACCAACAACGTCAAGCGCATCAAGTCCTTCGTCAGGGCCGGGGCCGACGTCGACCAGCCGGACACCCTCGGCAGGACTGCGCTTCATGCTGTAAGAGTCCTATATGTACTCAGTGAAAATATTGTGCTTTGAAAATATGTAGCATACTTTGTTTCATATCCATTTTGTGCGGTCAGGGGAATAGCAAGAACACCCCATTATCTGTATGTGATCGAAAGTTGCCTTCAACAGTTTCTTATATGACATTAAACATGGAATCTTATTTATAAAATTTACACGGGTATTGAATGATTGCATATCTTTGAAGCCTCCAGATAATAATCTACTACTTTTCACCAACAATCCGTAAAAACGTAGTTCCTTTACTACGTCGAGACCAATCACTAATTTTCCCTTCCTTGCTCCATGTACTAATAATATCTTGACTGAAAATATTCACGGAGTTTCATATAACGGATCCATAACAATGACACGATGACAGGCATGCATAACTGGAGCAAAGAAGGTGGTCCGAACTCTGCTAGAGTTCGGCGCCAGCACGACTAGGACGGACAAGACCAAGATGACTGCTGCCATGTTGGCAACCGCTGCCGGCCACGCAGGCATTGCAGCGCTCTGTGAAGCCCAGCCACAGTGAAATGTTTCTATTTTTCTCCTGCTTCTGTTCCCGCTCCTGGAATATTATGCAATAAATAGACTGATATTGCATCTGTGATTATCAGTGATCTTGAAGTAGTGACCCGCTTAATGTTCTTAAACAAGGCCACGCTGATGTTATAATCTAAAGAAATTTCGTGAAATTTGTGTTTCTTAGAAGTACTGTCTGTATTTATAACTTTAATGATAATAATGTTATTGTCAACGCAGTTTTACTCGAGTGTTCGTGGACTACAATCACAGCCTGTCTTCCTAAAAAAAGCTAGTTTTCTGTAAACATAGTACATAAACTGTAAATTATACGATTAATTCTAAGCTGTGAAGTAAGAATACTTCTTATTGACAGGAAGTATTCCGCCTGCTGATGTATTACCTGTATCATGAATTACTGGTATACAATTAAAAGGCTAGGTGGTTGAGTCACGCAATTTAAAATTTATTTTATTGTAATATTGACCTTACAGTAGTAGCATTTTGAATAGAAATTCATGTGTAGTATTGTGTAAAATTACTGTATAATCTTTCTATTTGAACGCACGGAAATATTATTGGACTAATTTGGCGATTCAGATCAAAATGACTGAATAAAGTCTGTTTTCAACCATTGCATTCTAAGGAGAGAATCAAATGAAGCCGATTCGCGAGAGCGAAGCTAATTAATCATTTTGTAAAGTACAGATTTTAAAACAGGCACTTCACACTATATATATTTGTCCACAGGAACTTCCCAAAATGTATTGATCTGACTCTTAAAACTCAATCATGCTCCGGACATCCACCTCATGATTATTTTTGTCAGTGAATTATTTACAGAGACTAATAATAAATTGTAACATCGCTTGAAAATTTGATTTGATATCATCCTTGCGTTCCAGGAACGAGCCTGACCTGAATAAGCTCTTTGCATATCGCGTTACTTCGACCGCAGTTGTACCTTGTGTGGTAAAATTATAAACTAACCAAATCCAGTTGTACAATCACCGTATTGTTTAACACCATGACAATCAACCACAGATTTAACAATTCAACTTTAAATAAATCAGTTTTATTTGAATAACGATGGTAGTTAGGGTCAGCCTGCTTGTCAAACGGCATCCATATAACTCCTCTTTTGGTACTCGCGTCTCTACAAGCTCGGTATAAACTGCCTTGTTTGTTAGCTCAGTAATGGAGAGGCGGAGGCAACGAGTCCTGTGAGAGCTCCTGCAATTAATGAGCCACAATTGATCTTTCCCAAAATGTTCCCGGAATTTTGCCAGAAGAAGAGTGTGCTGATCAAGGTCATCAAAGTACACTAAGGTCAAATATTTTCTTTACATACGAGTGTGATAATTTCTGCAATTTGAGAAACCCAATCCCGTCATGAAAATAATCCCTAATCCCACTGATAATAGTAATAATAATAAAGCATAAGTGTTCTAATTAAGCAATTGTACTAAAATTATAATCAAAGGATTTCCGAATCTCCGGGAATATCTAACAAATCTATCTATTGCCTGCTAGTCCATGATAAATCTAGTTGGATGAAACTGATGATAAAGTGTGTAGAAAATAACTGATTATAAATCGCTTTACCACCAAATAATACTGATAGTCGCAATAAAAGTAAGCAAATCGACCACCTCAATTCCCTGCAATGCTGACCCCATAGCAGACACACAAAAAACGGCCCCATAGGGCAAAAATAGGCGAACCAAGGAACAAATTGCGTCACGAATCGCTTCGAGTTTTTAATAATTGAGTAATTATGAAAGGGGAGAACCACGCACGAGCGTGAAAGATTTCGATATTTATCTAGGAGCCAAAATTTAGCCCGGCTTCATACCATTCAAGAAAATTCAGAGTGCTAATTGAGCTCAATACTCACCGTGATGGTGGTATTCACATCACTTGAAGTTTTAAAGAAGTATATTCAAGTAGAATTTTTCCCACCAACGTTATTCAGATTACCGCAAAACTCTACGGATTTTTGAATTGACATTTAACTACCTTTTCAAACTGAACTCAGTTCATTTGGAAATCCCTTAGTTTTGTTGCCTCACTTAGTTTTGCCTCGCTGTGGTCAAGAATGATCGAAATTAATTACTTGTAATCGGTTCGTTCAATACTTAACTTATTTACGTAGCCCAGACTACATCAGATAACGTATAGTCAAGTATCAATAAATATTTCCCCTTAACACAATTCAGGAATTGGGTGAGCTCTAATTGTGATATACGCAATCAAATTGTTAACAAGGAGCAGAATTGTGGTAGAAATTTACATAGGATAGCAAAATGTCATATGAAGCAATGGCAGTTGACTGGCTTTAGCCAAAATCGATTAACCAGAGATTTTAGCGCCATTTTAGTCTAATAAGAGCCTGATAAATTAGAACAAAAAATAACATTCATATTATCATCGCTTTGAAATTTTGAGGGAATTCATATTTTCTGACTAAATATTTTAAGTCTTGAACTTGGTCTTTTAATCCAATGTCTCTCATACGATATATTGAAAAATCTTCTGATAAAAACAATAAATTGAGTTTTTGGTCGTTGGCGTGTGAAGGCGGAGTGACTCATATACCCTATCCCCGAAATAAGACCAATGATCTCAACATTACTACGGGCTTGTGATGTGGGCGAGCAGGCGTATCCAAAAGTCATTGACGTATCCACCTAGCAGCAGTGAGCTATATAAGGCAGTGAACCCTGACACGCACCCTCCATAGATCCACCCGGTGGCAGAGCGTTAACATCTCCACAGCGTGTCGTGACCCACGCAGCGTCTGCAAGTTTCAGAACAAAGGTGAGTCGAGATGTTATATTATGGACCACTCGATATAAACTTTTATTTGGTGTAATTTAAGATTACTGAAAGCACTATAAATTATCAAAATACACGTTATATGAAATGATTTTACATTGGAATAGCACATGTACGACATGGAAAATTTTACCCTCCATAATATACTTTCGAAATTCATTTACTTCTATAACAAATTTAACTATTTTATATGGAATTTATAATTTGAATCATAATTTCGGCATAATTTAGAGAGATCATAAATTATGAAAATACTTGAAATCATTATTTAAAAGTAATATTTTATTTTATGAAAGTTCTAGAGTATATTTTGGACGAGCCACGCTTGTTTACGGTAAGGATAATCGAAAGTGTAAAAAAGCTAATTCAAAACTATTTTCTTGCGCCATTCGAGAGGTTTTGTCACGTACAAATGTATAGAGAATTGTATTCCTCAAACATTTTCTTCCGAAGGGCGTTTGAAAATAATTTTTGCGGGGTATAGAGTGTTATAGAACTACAGTTTCAATCATAGCTTATATTCTATAAAATCCAGCAAAACAATTATTATTATTTTGCATCGTATTTTTTTCGAAAAAAATGACTCACAGAAAATTAAGTTAGAATTAAAATTTACCGTAAACAGTAGACGCATGAGTGGAAGAGTAAAAATTCTACAGGCTGTCAATGGTTTTTCAGTTGCAGCATTAAACATTGTGACGTTTTTTTTACGAATTTTGTTAATAACTGCCAAACGCTTCTGCCATGTCCAATTTCGTGACGATATTTCACAAAAGGCAATCAAACAAATTATATTTTTTCCTACTTTGCTCATTGCATTCCGTTAGTTCAGACAACAATGTTCAGTATTACTTGATTCTCAAATAACTTCTATTGAAATTTTTTTTCAAACGCCATGTTTACCAGTTGACCAATGTGCTTGAATATTCAATCAATTTTAATCCGATTTCTTATCAAAGAAACTAAGATATTCTTCCTTGACCGCAAGACACGTAGTCGGTTATTTTCAGTCGGTTTGTTATACGAGTATAGTAGTATAGTATAGTATAGTATAGTATAGTATAGTATAGTATAGTATAGTATAGTATAGTATAGTATAGAATAGTATAGTATAGTATAGTATAGTATAGTATAGTAGCATAGTATAATAGAATAATATAGTATAGTATAATATTGTTTGGCCTTTTGATTAAATATTTTTACACCTGATGTTCAAATATATAGGTACTGGACTTTAATCAGGTCTGTGGGGACCTGATTGACTTTGTCTAGTCTGTTTTTGCACAAGTTCATACATCACACTCTGGTGACTTTACGGTGGCTTGCACGAACACTTTTATTTTGTAGTAGCTTCTAATTAATTAATACTGTAAGCATGGTAGCTAGGACATTATTTACAATGAAAAGCTTACACTTATCATTGAGGTCACTTGATTGAGGCCCTAGCTCGTTAAATATTTTGCGTTACAAAAAGAACAGCGTTGATAATGAGTGATGTGAATGCAGTAAAAAGTCTTCGTTATCATTGTCATTGAAAATTTTTCTTTAAACGATGCATCGTACGCATGAGTTTGTGGGACCCGTAACCTATTAAGCATTTATACAGTATTTTATTGCCGCATAATTAATTACTGTCATTATTACTGATTATTACTGACGTATTTTAAATGCATTTTCTATACTAAGACACACAACAACAACTGCTTGATAACTTTCAGATAATTTTTATGGATAGACTTTTTTAAATATAATAATTGAGATCCCACTGCATCTAATGCATGGATAAACTTAGGTGACTCTACACATCAAGATCAAAACATATAACTTGGTGAGCGAGGAGTTAGGAGCCTAACTTATCTCTCCTTGCGCATCATATTCCGACGCTACTTAGAAGCTACACTAAAAATTAAAACTTCACTTGAACCACAAACTTGCTGGCCTTTGACCGACCTTGGAGTTCTCCTATGGTATTCAAAATGCAAGCTTGAGAGGCGTTAGCACTACGTTTGAGGGTTAACTTAGTTATTTTTTATGCATGGGAACATTGTTCTGAGATTTGAATAGGATTTTAAGAAACACAAGATCATTCTGCCTGCAATGCTTGTGAGTCAGTCCAGTGTTCAACAATAAGTCAAAACTTTTGGCATCGAGCGTAGAAGTCTTGAGACTTGACCCGGAATTAACTTCTCTCGTAGAGGTAAGCCATATGCGTGTGATGCATCTGGCACGCAATACCCGTCAAAGTTTTATTGTAGATTGCTGATAATTCACAGGTTACTTTTCAAGAATATGTTTATTTCGGTATAATGGGTTCATTGCGTGTTTTGTATTGTGGGTTCATTGTGTGTTTTTTGTGTTGAGTATATATAGTGGCAGTGAATAGATGTTCAGCTCTATTAAGATCGATACAGACACTCGTAAGCCAGAAAAAATTATCAATATTTTTGTGAACCTGTTGAGAAATATGTTGTAGGTCCTACATGATCAAAATTTAAGTGAGGAACTGATATCTAATTCTCAATTGAAAGTGCATTTTTTCGAAGAGCGTGAATTTTTAGAAATTTTTTCCACTTACATGTCGTATTTCGCACGAATTGTGTCCGGGTAAGAACACTAAAATCCACTTAAATCCGAGGTTACTTTGAAGAGAAATTAAAGCTCTGAAACATCGAAACTGTCATAGTTCTTATCTCTTCTGCAAGACTGAGCCGTTACCACTGAAGTCTTTGAAGAAAGACTTTCGCCGGATAAGTTGTATACAGGCTGCGTTTTTGATCACAACTCACGCCAGCAAGACTGAAACTGCGGACGCTGCCCGTGCAGATTGTTCACAGATTGATGGATTTTTTCTTTATATTTCAAATCGCGACTTTTTTCATTTAACTATAATTTTAGTATAGCATTTTAATGTTTCCTTCAGAGCTATCATCGACTCTCCATCACGCATTATCAATATATCGGTTGCTCGATTGCTTTCATGATGCGACTCTAAACTGAATTTGGGTTTTATTTTGAGCTTGTCAACAAATTTTATGAATACAAGAGGCTCATTTGAACTGAATTCAGTTAATAAATTTCAGTTAAAACTTTTGTACAACAAATACAGGAATAAAGTTTTTTCGAAATCAATCTGATTCACCTTTCTTCCCGAGTAAAATCGGGCACATCGTTCAATAATATTTGTAATTTCTGTAGATACTTTCCAATCACAGGAGACTGTCTAATCCTCATTCATTGTCATGCATGCAAATTCAGGCTTAGTGACTTTCCTCGAGCGTGTGATGGCCGCCGCGCGTGCCGTCGTTCCTTCAAGGAATATCTTAATAATGCCGGCAAACAGGAGTGCGATTCATGAAGAAATTTTTTTCATTACTTTATTATCAAATGAACTTGACAGAATAGCTGGTGGAATTGCTTTTACCATTTAATTCATCTATAGATGGCGAGAAATCTTGTTTTAATGGTAATAAAATGTTGCATAAGTCATCATTTGGATTTTATTCGCTCTGTATAAGAAATAAATTAGTTTAAAACTACCTGGAGTAAAATCTATATTGAACATGTGGCAGGAAAAATTTAACCTCAATTTCTCCTTAACTTACGTTAATTTCTGAAATTTTAAGCGGTTTTTCATGCCCGGATGATAGTGGCCGTTACGAGCTATTCACCCTTAATTTTCGGTATCGTGCTCATTTTGTCTCGCAAGAAGCCATCATTCTACCTGCCTGCGTTCAATGCTTTTTGTACAGCCAATCATTTTTGGAATCCCGTAGATTGCGTAAGTGCAGAACTTGTATAAAAACAGCAAAGCGGACAAAAAACGGCTCTTGGTGCATCAAACACTGAATACCATTGCATAGTTCAAATATATGCTTTGGCAAATACAAATACAAGAAATATAAGTTGACGTTTCTTTAAATCATCAGATCAAATATTGTATCCTTCAATTGTAAAGATGGGAAATGGAGAGCAAGCGTACCCAGTCATCAGTTAATGGAGGACCGGCAACTCCTGTTGATGAGCCTCTGTTTATCTCTGGCCCAACTCTATCCATAGAGGAGAAGACTCAGGAAGAATTTTCTGTTGATTGTTTTCAGGTTCATGAAAATAAAAGAAAATGGCCAAAGATTTCGTCGTTGTATGAACTAACTACCCAAAAATTACACGACTTGTAATAGTACATTTTAAATAATTAATGATGTTAAAGGACATAATATCAACGGTAATCCTGGAAGAACAACAGCCGCAGCTATCAGATGGTTTATTTTTCTCTTTGCAGAAAATTCTGCCCTGACAGGCTCATGATACTAAGTCAAATGCAGCTATTGTTATACTTGCTATACAAGTATTTTAAATACACTAACACACGTGGTTTCCTTAGTCATCTTTGTTAGTGTACAAACTTCATTGCACAGACGTCCTATGTTTGACAAGCGAGTGGTTATAAAGGAATGCTCGCGTCAATGCACATTATTTGCAGAGTTGAATCATTCGAGCACATGAAGAGTGAATCAATACATCGGTCGTCAGGGAGCAATGCTCTCATGTGTCGAGACGCACACGCCTTGTTTACTCAACACATCAACAATTGAGTTTCGTTCTTAAATTGAAACTTCCATTCCATGAAAAATTAAAATATGTATAATTCGTTAATACAAATAATTTTTGTTTCACATTACTTGCCACTTAAGCCAGCCATTGACTTCAAACGAAGGGCACAGTTATCGAAAAAGTCGTAGGTCGATTGCCGGAAATTGACAGGTCTGATCTAACTCGTCTACATGAGTCCACGCTGAATTTGATGAAGTTACGAACAAAATTTATTCGCAGTATATTAATCATTAATTCTGTAATTAAATCACTCGCATCGCATGCATCCCAGACGAAGTTATATCTCACATTTACACTAAATTTAAGAGCTCACTACAAGTCGCTACCTAATTACCAAGCGTCTGATGGTCGTCAACACACTATGCTCTCCGATTGTATATGAGCTATAAGCTTGTTGACTTTAATTAGAAATTAAGGCTTACAGAATCGTCAATGGAGTCGCATTGGAGTGTTAGTCTCTTAGTCAGCCGACTGGGTGCCCCCTGTAAGCCTTGTCTATCCCTGTGATTCGACTATCGCAAGGACCATACAAGACTCCTTATTTATGATAGGTTATTAATATAGTTTTTATCTGGCAAAACGTTTCTTGTCTGTAAATTTTTTATACATATAACTGTATTTATAAAATATTTCTTCATGCATTTCAAGCACTATAATACTGAACTTGATACTTGTTTTTATCGTTTTTCAAACATAAATATAAGTTTTCTAATCATATTTAAAAACCAATTGAATTGTGAATTTAGGTGCAATCAACTGAATTCAAGGAATTAATCAAATTTGAATAAATTTATTTGTTAATTAATTTTACAATAACTTTAACTCAATAACTCAAGACAACGAAATGTCAAGATCGACGATTTAATGCAATCGTTGTGCAAGATTTCACTTCAAATCTTTAAGTACAAGGGTTGTGTTGTTGGAAGTGAGATTCGAAGTGAGGGTTAGAAGGGAGTGAGCCCGTGTGACGTTTGAAAGAGAATGTAGGGCGCTGAAGTCACGCTATCTTTGTGGCCTTTGTCCTCTCAACTCAGAGTGTAGGATTTCAAGAACAATAGGAAAATTGCAACTAATTTTAAGGTAACATCGGAAAAATTTCTAAGTTGGGCTTGCAGAGAACATCGGTGTTCAATTGAAGTCAAAACATCAATGGCTGGCGATGCAACCTCGCAAACGATTTAATTGCCAGTAGATATAATAATCATTTTTAAAATAGGAACCATTTTGTAATATATGGTGGATTTATTTCTGTTCACAGCATTTCTTCTTTAATTTAACGAATAGAACATGACAGATATTCAACCATTATTCCTAATTTCATCATTAACAAGCCGGCACCTTAAACTAGTAACGATTGCGTGTTAAACCGAGCAAAAAATCTTGAAATCGAATATTGTTATGCCTGAGCGTGGACCAAACAAACACTGAGCTTTGCTCCATTTACAACAACAAACTAAGAGACTGTGCAGGAATGCACCACCGACTAAGTCTTCTGTCTTCATGTTCGCTAATTACAAGGCCTTTTAAAGGACAGGAAACATGCTAGTTTTAATTACTGTGCAACTAACTTTTGAAAGTTGCAGAAGTGATGAAAAAGCGTAAAATATATTTACAGGCATACATTCATATTCAACGATTGGCTAAATTGGTTAAACAATTGTCGTGATTTTTCGGATAACCTTCAGAAGAATTATATAAAAAATGAAATTCAGAACCGAAAAAGTAAATAAAACACTGGCAAAACGCGTGGAAGAGTATCAAGCTTTGTTAGCATCCTGTTAATATTTTGATGATCTTCATTGCTCATCCGTCATTTCAGATGTGCATCAGATAGTAATTTAAGACGTTGTGACGCGAAAAGTCGGTTAGTTCAATTTACGAATGAAAACGAATAAAAATGTTATATACTTATATTATAAATCAATTTCAGGAATAAGCGAAAAATTCATGACTTGCAAGAAACTCTACGTAATACGAGCGTTAAAAATATATAGTGATGTAAAGAGAAAATTCTAAGACAGAATATAAATTAATTTCTCTAAAAAAATAGATTTTTCAATTGATTGTAAGTGTGTTTAATATGTTCCACAGAAGGCACATGAAAAATATGGGAGCGATGCGACTAATGAGCGGCCGAGCGCATGGACGCGTGCCGTCGCTGTGGCAGCTCGCGGTGCTGGTGCTGGTGAGTCAGGCCGTGACTCAAGCGGTGCCAGAGGCGGACGCTAAGAGGTTCGACTGTCGCCTCTTCTGTAAGGAGACAGGCTTCCATGCCATGCTGGGGGGCTGCCGCTGCTCCTTTACTCTCTTCACTGCCAAACGGGCTCTCAGGTGAGAAATTTTTACTCGAAATTATCAAATTAATAATTGTATTATTCGACACTTGACAGAGTATCGAGCATTGTGCAGCGCATTCATAAATCATTTATGTTGGGTAAAAATGATTTACAGAACGAATATTTTTTCGAGCGTGACAAGAAAGATTCAATTTGGATTCGATTTTGTACTGTTTTCGATAAAAAATTTTTTACTTCTGAATTATATTATATTTGTGGCATTGCAGAGGCCCGTACGAAGAAGAAGGCTCATCAAAGCATTTCTCCCATTTGACACCTCGATACTATTCGGAGCTTCAAGATCAGCAATTGACCAGGCCAAAAATTCTGGACTACCCCACGCAGCATCATAAAAATATCCTCAGGATGACAGTTGATCCTCAGAACTCGAGTAAGCAATCGCTAAATCCGGACAAACCGCGAATCAATCTTTCGTTTCCGTACTTCAAGCAGCTTAGCGGAAACTCACCTTTGCAAAACTCGGGACCTGCTGCCGCGTTGTCGGCAGTTGACGCTAAAATCAACGAAGAAGAACCTATCAACAGCAAGCGTAGAGAATTCGAGATGGACCTCGACAACGGAGAGCCCGCTGACTTCCTGCGAATGTCCTACTGAGAATTTCTGAGAACTCACATGTCTAACTTTCACAATAAGACAATATTTACTTAGGAATTGATGTGATTGGTTGGGAAGCCTGGTATCTTACTTCAAATGAATAGGCAAAAGGCAGTATATTTAATTTTTTCAAGTTTAGGTTAAGGTTTCTTCTCATCTTTTTATTTCCCGAAGTAATTATCAACCTAGATGGTTTAAATATTGTGGTCTCTCATGACATTATACCGCAATAAAAAAGTACTAATTTTAGGGAACACTAACGGTTGTTGATTCGGAAAGTAATTCATGTATTGAAACTATCGGATTAGGTTGTTGATATAAGTAAAAGAGAACAATCAAGAAAAATATCATTGTTAAAGAGAAGCATTATGCAGCTCATGATAACTTGTTCATATGACTAAAATGAAATTAAAAAGCATTTAGTTAAAGATACATGCAAGTCAAACTAATTCATGAGCAACTCAGATGACAAATTTTGAAACTGAAAGGAAAAACTCGAAAAAGATAAGCGATGCTGAAAAAAGGCGCATGTACATTTTTTATGTTAATAAATAGTAATTGTTTGAGTCTTAATGTCTGAGTCCAATCATTTATTAATTTACTATAAAGTAGTTCAAGAATCGTTGCATAAGATGATATGTATTCTTGACAATAAAAAATGTTCACGTATGTCACTGCGTGGCAACAATTACGTCATGTGTAACTGAAGTAAGTTGATATGTTTAATATAATTTACAACAGTTAAGCATTGTTTATTTTGTGATAGTCTTAATATTTATGTGCCTAATATTATTTTATTAGCTCGTGTGAAAAATTTAGCAGCACCATTTTGTCTTAAAAATGCATAGGCAAACATTTGTGTGGTATACCTATGTGTCAAAATTATCAATCAATTACAAAAGACTTTTAGTTAGTTTTGCACTTCCTTGTTTCTTCCATATATAATATCAACAAACAAATTTCAAATACATAGCGATTAGATACTACTGCTCTAAGTTTGATGAAAAGGTAAATTATTAACTCATTGCCAATTTTTTATTACTTTTCTACCAATATAATAAAGAGCATATAAGGACAATTTCGCGGTGCATTTCGATGCCTGGCACATTTGCGTACAAATTACTTCGCCCTGCAAATTGCATAAGCCATTGCCTCAAGAAAGGAAAATCATTAAGTCTGCTCAAGGCAAACGTTTAATAACTTTCAAAAGAATATTTTCATCAACTGTTGCGAAAAGTTTGCTGAATAAAAGAAGTACGAATGGCTCGGGTACAAATTTGATTTTCCTATATATTTAATGTTGGGATATTCTAATAAAGATGTTATATTCAATTCAAGTACACTTGTGCGACAAATATCGTACTGCTATGAACACAATACTGCCCTTAGGCGGCCCGAAAAATATTTAAACTTAGTTGGACTATATTAACATATACTTGAAGGGAATTAAATTCCGTTCCTTACCTTCAAAAAGATTGTCTTCATTTTGCAGATCATTTTATCACAAAAATATAGTCGCATTAGCATTAACGACTAAACTCAGCAGGTTAATAGGGCATTCACTATAACCTGCGCTAATTCAATTTTCAATGAGCGATTCAGAGCTCATCAAACCGGCTATTCTGTCTTAATTATCGGAAAATGATCCCTGCTGTAAGAAAGTAGTTTGGGTAATCTGTTGAGTGCCGGATGTGGCTCGTGTTCAACGACTTGCAAGGCAGTAAAACTTTCAATGAAGTTTGAGCCTCCTGTCAATTTATTATATCCAATATTCGCACCAGTTTTCAGTTATAACCTTCAGTTAAGTTGGTAGCCATCATAAATTTTTTGGGAGAATTGCCTTTTTTGATTTGTCAGTGGAGAGTGAATGCGTCAACAAGATCCGATGGTTGACATTTTTAAAGACCATTTGTAGGTAATTAAGCGCTGAGGCAAAATAAACCAAACAAATTAACTAAACGAAATCATAGGCATCTTAATTTTTATTTTTGATTTCTGATCTTGAGCTCGGAACTCAAGTAAAATATATATCAGTCGCCTTCATTCAGGCGTCTACCAGCGACCGGTGTTTTCTTCGTAGCCGCCAAAGATTTCCTAGCACTCGTGCTTCAAGAAACTTGCATTTACTCCATTTTTAGCGGTGAATCGACCCGAAATAACTCAGAATTCGTTGTAATTGCAATTTCAACGGGCTATTTTTGTGTATAAATTAACTGTCTTCGAAAATATACCTTTTGAACTCAAAGAAAAACGGATTTATTGTTTTTATGTGGGACATTGGTCTCAAAACTGTAGTGCGTGTCGCATCAGTGCTACGTCAGGCCTTCTAGGTTGTACGCAGACACTTACGGGGCAATGCAAAATTTCACGTCAGTTATTTTCTACCTTTACAAAATATGCACTGCCAAACGGAAGAAAATCTAAACGTCCCACGAATGTGCACTACCAAACACTAGATAATCTACATGCCACATAAAGATCGCTACCAAACACTGTAAAATGTACGTCACTAAAATGTTGTTTATTGAACACTAAATGATCCTACGTTAATAAATGTTTTCTATCTAAATAATCTAAGTCACAGAAATGTCAATTGTCTCTGCCAAGCACAAGATAATCTACGTCGCAAAAATGTCCTGGTCAGAGCAGCCGATCACTGAACCCTATAGTGGCACGCTCACTTGTGCTGTTCATTAGCGCATTCAGTGGAATATAATGCAACAGATACTGACACTATGAAGCGTCGGGATAATTTGAAGTATTAGTGGAAAGCGTCGAGCGCATGCGTTCTACAAGTGACACTCCAACACATAAGTTTACGAGCCCTTAATGTTAGGTGTGCAAGGGTGATCGAATTGACTGTTCGACATGTGATGGAGAGAATGTGAAGATTTCATTTAACATTGAAAAATGTTAAATTTGCCGAACTGGTTTAAAACCACAAAAATTGTTCGCGGATGTAATGCCGCTTCAACAAAGCTGAGAATATAATGTCGACATAACAACTGCGGAAAAAGACGAATTAGTTTATCTCTACTGACGAAAAAAATAAGTAATTAATAACTACGTAATAATGTTAAAGGAATTCAATTTCTTTCAAAAATGATTATTATTAATTCTTCAGCGAAGAATTGAATTATAAAGGAATTCAATTATATTAAGGGGAATCGAGACCAATTTATAAAATTCAGGTTGAAGCTAATATGAATGAGTAAGGTGAAATCTAAAGCGAGAGCCGGAGCTACGGACTCGGTTTGGCCGTGGAAGCTACGAGCCAGACTCGTCGTCAGTAGGTCACCGTCCCGTTAGTCGACGCTGAGACGGTGCACGCGTGTGTGTTTCAGTGCCTCGAACTCCTGTGCTGGATCTATACAAGGTGTTAATTTTCTTCAGCTCGCATACATTCCACAGAAGAAACAAGTTTTGTATTTTTTGTAGAAATAGACGAGCCACAATTGAAACGGCGTATCGTGTACATCATATAATAGTTGAATATTTGGTTTTTGTGGCCGTTTGGGGAACCGCAAAGTCAAAGTATTCATTCAAATAATCTTTTGCATATAATTTGGGTAATTGATCATTTCTTGCCTAAAGATACCCAATTCGCGATTATTGCTTTGTATAAATAAATAAATTGTTTCATTTAAACGGCATCGCTTTTTAACATTAGAGAAAACAAATTACCTAACTGCATTGCATCCTGTTCAGTTTCGATTAATTTCTACGAAAAAGAGTGAAATGTTTTTATGAAGAGATCTTCGATGCATTACGCTGATGCTAAAACTCAAAGACAAGTTACATCTCATTTTTTTCTATGTTTCACCGGACTTGCTGAGACCGAAAAAGTGGACAAGGAAGCGTGCCTAAAAAGCTGTCAGTACAGAAAATTTCACCACCTTCCCATGTCATCTAAGTGCTGGGGCATGAATGCTTTGCCCTAACACTGCATCGGCCCAGTAGTTGAATTTTCTTTCGTATTCATGCTACGATATATTTAATCAAATAACAACTACTCTTCTTTAATTAGTATAAAAAAGAAAAGTATTAAAATGAATTTGATATTGAATGGGTTTCAATTTTCAAAGTAGATATTTTCTCTTTGCAATACCGTAACTGTCTTCTGGATTCGTTTCGTCAGGCCCATTTCTCTTCAAAAATTAACATCAAAGCCTTGGCCTCTATGGTGCTATGATATCGTTGCAAATATTAACGAACTGTTCACGCTCTGGGAACGCTGGTTGTGAGGTGCGATGCTTCTCGGAAATCGGTCTTAGCTTTAAAAAATGAGAGAAGTTCTCGTAAGAGAGAAAAAAACCGTCCTGCATAAGGAGATAAATTTCTCTCTTACTGAAGAAAGCAGCCAGCTCGCACTGGCACTCTGGTGCTAACATTTATTTGTCCTACACAGAAGATGACAAATAAGCGTTACTGCGCTGTACTTTTGAGAGCTCATGAAATGTTTTTATTTATTGTATTGGAATGTTCAATTTTTTTATTATATGACATACGAAAGTCAAATCAATTATATAGATAATGTTGCGAATGATTCGAGTCTCCCTTGTTTATTAACATTCATATAATTAACATGGCATTTTGAGTTCACAAAATGAGCTATTGAAGACTCTCATTTGCGCTCACTATTCCCAAAACTAAAAAAATTATTTAATCCCACATTCCTGTAATATTTTCGTTCCTTGGTGTCTTGAAGTCTGCTCCCGAAACTAAGGTAATTTAATAAGGTAACTATATTTTTATTAAAAAAAGTAGTTTATTTTATTTAAAGACTAACTTTCGCGTTTTCTTTTCCGCTTCTATCTTAGTTTCTCATTATTTTTTTGCTGTTTTGTCGACCAACTTCAGGTCAATGAGAATAAATATGAATTTTTTAACCATATTTGAAGATGGTTTGATGGTCTTTCAAAATTTCATTGTTTCAAAATTTCTTCAGCCACCGTCACTAATTCCTCCTGAGATGATATTCAAGTCTAATCGTCTGCTTGAATATTACCAAAACAATGGAACACTTGCTGAAATTCCACATGCTGTAAATTCATCGGTGAAGTTTTCTAATATGGATTTACCGGCAGGAAATCTTTGCTATGTGCTATGGATGTTCAGGAACTCGGTAGCAACGCATATGGGAAATTAGTAAAAATTAGCCACAGTGATTGTTTCGTAAAACTGAAAAACTAAGCGATGTCATCAGCTATAATGCATCCATCGGTCTTGATGTGAAAGGTGAGTTGCCTAGGTAACAAGTATACTATTATGGTATTCCTTAGTTTCTAATAAATTCTATTCATTAATTGAATTTTAAATTTTGAATAATTTATTCGTACACTTTAAATTTTTTAAATAAATCTTATATATAATTACATTTCTAGGATATGCATCTCACGGTCATGGGCTACAATTTTTAACTCAATGAAATATTTTAAAGCTAAAATTATTAGTTTTATTAATGAAAGGAAGCAGTACGTTAAAATAATGTTAAAGCTTCTTCATTTCATATTTATTCATTAATTTGATTAGAAATTGTATATTTTATTTCATTAACGCGTCATTCATGCCAAAAAAGCTCGAGAAGCGGAGAGGAAAACTATAGGTGCAACATAAAGCTGATATACAATTCGAATCACTTGGAAATTAAATTTTTGATTGGACTATAATTGCAATAAGAAATACTCATTCGGCCTATTTTTTAATTCTATGGACAAAAGGCGGTAGCGAATAGAAAATAAATTGATAACTTTTCTTGTCATGACACTCCATTTTTACGCGTTTTGGAGAGTCGTTTTAAAATATTCAATCTTTTATATTCAGCACATGCGAGAACAGTTTGCATTGCTCTTGTGTACTTAAGATGGAGGCAATTACTGTTAAATTTCAGCGACTTACAACTGCGATTCTCCTTGAGATTAATCACTCATATTCGTATTTGCATTCATACACTTTTTTCTACAAAAATTCCCAATGCACAGAATGCAAGGCTGATTGCGCACAATTGAAATCGTATTTGAATATGTAGATACAGTAGGTTGTAAATTTGCCTTTCGAGTAAACTGCAGACTTTTTGTGAAAAATGTGAGCATTTTTTCAGATTCGTCAGTTGAGTAACATCACATCTACTCGTCGTCATAGATTCAGTCAGTCAATCTTTGCTTTATTTTATTATTTCTGGCATTCCAATCCATCATCGACCAAACCTTGAAAATTAGAAAGAGTCGCAGTTCCTGCCCTATCTCTAGACTCACTTTATGCTCATAGAAATGAATTCGAGTGATTTTAAAGTCCAGTGGAGGAATCCAGTGATTTGCATATATATGATCGGTACTTCACATG